TATATATATATATATATATATATATATATGTATATGTGTGTGTGTGTACACACACACACACACACACACACACATACATACACACACATACACACACTAATATATATAACATAAAAATATATAGCATAAAAATAATATAATATAATGACATAAAATATATAATACGCACATACATTTTAACTAATGAGGGAAAGCTCTATTGATTTGTTGTTCTTCTCAACAACAGGCTTTTAATGTTGGATTGACTTTCCATTCTGTGGCCACAATGGTGAACTGAACTCTGTGTTTGATTTTGATCCTTAAAGCTGTTATACTTTTCACAATGCTTTTAATCAAGTAGTTAATATTATTTTGCATTCTTTAGATCTTATACAGACTGGAGGTAGCTTAAGGAGGTTTTAGGTAAAAAGAAAAAGCCTGCCCACGTTTGCAAATTAACCAAGGGTGGGCTGCATATTTAAGTATGAATATATTTAATATATAATACATAGTTACATCTTATAGCATGTTTGTGTATACCTGTTATGCATACATATATATGTTATGTAACTGTATTATGTATTTATATTTAAATAATATATATTATAATATACACTTATTTTTAAACATAGTATCAAAGCTGTCTTAAACTGTGCCTTATCTGTTTTATTTTCTTTTTTCTCCTTATATTGGTTATTCAGTGGGACTGACTAGATAACACAAAGAACAACTTTTGTGTTAAAGTAACATGACTAAATTAATACCAAAATTTGGCTATCGATGAAAATTTGTGGTCAAGCTCATCAAAAGTTTAGAAATTTTAGTTTATTTTTGTTAAGGTGATTGATCCAAGGTTTCCCATTCTGCTCCTGGCTAGCAATTTTCAACACGTTTATCAAAGGCCTTTTGGTTATATATAGAGGACTTGGGGTTTCTAGCTTTCCTGACTCTTAAGAACTGACTTCTAGCTTCCTTTTGACTCTTGAATTTACAGGCTGCCCTGCAAGTTGGGGGCCATGGGGAAAGGCTACACCAGTGTCGGGAGGTCGTGCTGCTCACTTACAAACCCATCCCCATGCAAGTGGATGGGGAGCCCTGTAGGTTGGCCCCAGCTATGATTCGGATCTCCTTGAGGAATCAAGCCAACATGGTGCAGAAGAGCAAGAGGAGAACATCCATGCCTTTACTCAATGAGTGAGTTTGCCCCTTGCCTACCTTTGTGAACACAAAGATCATAGAACGCCAGGCGTGTGCATGGTCTAGGGGTCTTACTGTGTTGAGAAAGGAACAAAGTCCAAGAAACAGCAGTTCCCTGGTCTCTCTCACATATTTTTCTTCATGTTTATTGCACAGTGACCACACTCTTCTTGTAGAACCAATTGCTGTATTGAATACTAGATAGATCACTCTTCTTCATTGATCACTTTGCTGTATATTTATTGGGAACAGCAGAAAATCATTAAAGAGTGATTCTAGGGTCATAAAATGCATCAACCTAAACATGTTCCATTTTGCTTTAAGAAGGCACGGTGTTGGCCTTCTCTTTACCCAGGTCACTTGGGGAGTGTTGGGTTCCCCGATAGTGGGGAGGTTGGCAGAGCTGGATTTTTGGAGCTCACCTCTCTCCACGTTGTATTCCCTTCTGCCTGTTAGTGACTCATCACTTTCCTGATGCCCCCATTTTGGGGTCCTGAGTCCTCTGGTGCTTCAACTCAATTTCGCTGTTCTGAGTGGCATCCTATTGTCTAAATATAGCCTAATTCACTATTCAACACCTAAATAAAATGTATCCCTCTGGGACCCTTTCTTTCCTTAGGTGTGCTGATGAGCTGATTTGAGATAAGGTGGTAATAACTAGATATTTTGAGTATATTCATTTTATAGCACCCTTTAAGTTTTTGATGGAGATGTCTGTCTGGGGTGGAGAAGGATGGGGACTTGGGGCCCCTTTTTGAGTATCTTCTATATTTAATGCCCATATGCCTAATCTAACTCAAGGTAAGGCTGTTTTCAGACTCAGCCTTGGGTCATCACTCTGTCATAGTGAGGGGGCCTCCAAGGTGCGACTCCTGTTTGTGGCCTGTGATGCATGGTTACCTATTTGTGTTGAATGGCTGGCTTCTTGCAGTGCCTGTGAAGCAAGGGTATGCTTTGCCACGTATTTATGGGATCACGATGATAGTCTTCAGAAATGCCTAGAACAAGCCAGTAACACAGGTGCCGTAGCTCACTGCCAGAGCCTGACTTCACCTCTCTTCCTCAGATGGCGTATGTTGAGGAATAGCGTTAGACAGGCCTCTTAAAGCGTTTGCATTTTTGGCATCTGCCTCGAAGTCTGAGGCTGGAATGAGAGCTCCTCTCTCCTCTGCTTCCTCCCTTCCCAGAGTCACTCTGAACATCAGAGTCACTCAGCACTTTGCTCAGATCATTATCCAGACAACTTGTTCAGTTGGATTCCTTATTTCGTTCACATGCTGCAGCTGGTGAAACCCCTCGCTCATTCCCGACGGCTTTGTTTTCTCCCTGCCTTTACCTTCAATTAGGTTGGATATACAACTGGCAAGTACGTATGTTAAAAAGGTATGGTGTCAGCAGTGATATGTGGTTGACCGCACTCTCTCTGGAAACGTTAGAGTGCATCCATGAACCACTGGTCTGGGAGAAAGCCTCGGAAAACTAAATGAAAAGCCATTTCGGAGATAGTATGGCAGCTCAGGTCGTTTTGGGTCACTTGTGTACAGTTAAGAACTATAATAAAACTAAAAGTGCTTAACATCTACAGGCAAAGGCCTCCCATGCTCATGCCTGGCCATGCTGTATTTAATAACCTTCCCAGATGTGAAATTGTCTCCAGGTGCTAGTTTCAAATAGTTCTTGCCCTTGAGCTGAGAAAGAATTTGTATTTGCTCAGCCACTGTATTGTTAAGAATTCATTTGGGCCTTCTTCACATGCAAAAACGAATATGAATAGTTGTTTTCTTTTTGTGCTTAGAGTTTATATGGCAGATGATGTGACGGCATCGATTTAGCTGTGAGGGTGTTCAAGAAACCACCTCAACTCAAAAATAATGACTTCCCACCAGGGGGCAGTGGTGTGTCCATGTAAGCAGCCTCAGGCCTCTGGAAATATGTATGTGAAATGGCAATCGCCTGCTTTTCAGTTCCAAAAAGGATACTTGTAAAACTTAACAAAGGTATTTGTTACTACTTAGGATGAATAACTATCAGAACACTATATTTTTTAGAAAATCGATCCAGATAGCACATTTTCAAAGGAAAACAGCTAGTTATCATGTCACACTTGTTCACTAAGGCCTCGAGTGCTCTCCCTTACTGCTATTGCTTACCCTCTGCAATTAGATTTCTTGTGCCTGTTTTACTAGAAACCCTTGTTTTCAAATCTGACCTTTCCTGCTGGATTTCCAAGTAGAGTTTCCAGTGTGAGGGTTGTCTGGACAATAAGACCTTTCTACAAGTTTTCTCCAACCTTCTGAGTCCTCCAGGTTTTTTGTGTTTCAGCCATGGTTGTGCCAAGTTCACTTTTGCAGGCAAGGCAGAGAGATATTTATTTCCTCCCCCACTCCCTCCGTCCCTCCCTTCTTCTCTCTCTCTCCCTCCCTCTTTCTTTCGTTCTTTCTTTCTTTCTTTCTTTCTCTTTTTCTCATTGTTTACTAGGATTATCTGTTTCTTCTGTTCCATTCGCCCGTCTTCTTTCAGAAGAAAGAAAGCTGGTTTTCAGAAGAAAGAAAACTGGTTAAAAATATGTAGAGAATTTGTTTAGAAACCTCCGTGTGTGATGGGCTAGGGAGTTAACTAAATATTTGAGAAGGAGGCATTGTGGTTCCCTAAACAACTGGCTCCCTTTTCCACTTGAGCAATGGTGTTCCTCACCGGTTTGCCTTTCTGTGAGAGATCACATCTGTACCCCAGATTTCATCTATGACTTATATGTGAATAGATCTCACATCCATGTCTTCTATCCAGGCATTCCTGTAGAAGCTAACCCTCGCACCCAGATATCTTAGCTGACATCTTTATCTGGATATCCGCTAGCAACCTCAGACTGCAGGCTAAAAACGCGCTTGTAATTTTTTTTCTCTGCTCATCAGCCAATGAGCCCCTGGAGTCGTCACAATCACCTGCACTGTTACACACCCCATGTGGCCTTAGAGGTCTACCTTCTATTTATTTCCCATGTCTTTAACCACCTACCTCCTCTGCTAGTATAATATGACTTTTGTTCAAAGGCTGTATAAGCTACCTCTTCACAGCATCACTAAACTATGCTCATAATTCTTTGTCTCCAGTGTCCCTGCCCTTCACACACTACTTTTTCCAAAAGACTGATTGGAAGGATCTTTCTAGAAATGTTAAGCTTATATTCCTTAACGTTGCATGCCCTTGTGATCATTGTCTTCATCGTTCTCTTCCTGTGCTCCAGAGATCATTGCTCTTCTGGAGCAGTGGCCTGCCTCGTGCATCATCATACTTTTGCAGTTCTGATGCCTTTCTTGCAGTACCTTCCTTTCTGCCTTTTTGTCTGTTGACTCTTGCTCAAGTTCAAGACTCCACTGAAGTATAACTTTCCCTAAGAATCCTTTTCTATCTACTTCTAGCCATTAGATACTCCTGTTCTATGTTACATTTATCACACCATTTACCAATAACAGTGTAGTCCTTGGTTGACTTATCTCTTTACCCTGCTTAGAGTTTTCCTCTTTGGGTTCTCAGGGCCTACCAGTATGTCTGAGACATGTTTATGTGTTAAATAATGGCTGGCACATGGATCAGTTCTGTTAATACTGTATCTGTTAACATTTGTCCAGGATTGTTTCTAAAATAACATAAATCTAAAACCCATGAATCTAAAACTAATAGAGATAATGTCTTGATAACATTTGATGTTAATAAATGGATGATACACACAAATTTTAAGATCTGGTTTGCATGGATGAGGGGCAGATTCCCATGAGAAATGGTTAAAGTAGGCCCTCATGATGCCATTAGATCTTCACTTAGGCAAAAAAAGAAAATTATTCCCCCCCAAAAATATTTCTTGGTCTATAATCCAAGTTGCTATTACTACATAGAAACTGAAGGGCTAGCTCCATTGTGTTCAGTCAACCCCCCACCCCACTGGTACAGAAACCTATCTCATTTTATAAAGTGAGAACTGCAATACGTATCTTTCCCAAAAAAAGTAATAGAGGAGATCTATCTAGGTTCATATTCACGTGCTAGTAACATGGTGGCCAGATAAATTTGATTATGCTGTTTGAAAGGCACCTGTGAAAGAGATTAGAAATTTAAAATTTCTCAGGTGTGTAAGGAGATGTTAAGTTGGCTATAATCCTGAGCTCAATGGTAATTAAGACTACACTGTGAAAAGCAATCATGTTATTCAGGGGCAAGATTTCTAGTTGGTGAACTTTGAATTGGGCAGTGCAGTTGATTGGATTCCATCATCCTGGCTGCTCAAAAGTATTGTTGGTTGTAACCGATAGTCCTTTGAGGAAAACAAGGAGTTGATTCATGGGACTTCATAGGAGAATTTGTGTACCCAGCAGAAAACAGGGATCAGGGAGCTATGTCTGCTGCAGGTCCTTTGAAGCTCTTCAAATCGTCTAAGAGAGTAGAGAGAATGACTATGTAAAGGTGACAACACATTTTTTATTTAGTTTCTTCAAATTTACATTTCATCTTTTCCAACAGCAACCAAAGGTTCTCTCTTTTATAAAAGAAGAGAGAAAAGGGGGACGTCTGTGGTTTCACTCTTCTACCAAGAGTAGAGTGAAATTTTGGCATCACTGTGATGAATTTAGGCTTTCTTGGTGTTACCTTCAGAGTCGTTAAAGTTTTTGTCCAGCCACTCTTTGCAAGATGGTTGTACTTTGACACAGGTTTCCTACAGACTTTGGAATCATGAGGACTATGGTAAAGGATTAAATTTACCTTGACTCTCCTCAAAGATGAGTTTACTATGCCAGCCTACCCCCCTCTCTAGTGAGTGTGTGTGTGAGTGTGTGTGTGTGTGTACTTGTGCACATGCGCGCATCTTCTCGTTGGATATCTCGGATGACCTAGAGCGAGAGAGGACCACGATGCCTCCTGCCCGCAGCCCCGCCCAGTGTCCACGCTTCGGTTGCATCTGCCCGCGCCCTGCCCTTCGCTCCAGTCTGTGGCTTGCCGTAGAGCCAGCCCTTGCCCTGTGTCCTGTTGGCTTCATTGCTGTCACCGGCTTTTTGGATTATGTCCGTGGCTGGCTGGATTTTCCTTTTCTTTTCACTCACTGTTTGGTGACGCGCTCATTTAATTTTTGTTTAAATTTTGTGTGTCTCTCTTTCTCTCTCCGGGCTTGTTCCCTGTCTGTCCACGCTGTTGTGCTGACTGTCTTCGCTGCTCATTCCCTGCTGCCTCTAGTATCCATCAGGTGCCAGCTGCCGACCTGCGGAGAGTATCTGCTCCCCCTGGCTCCTTCACCACGTGAGTACAAAGCCGGTCTGTTTCTACACCTTGTCGAGCACCCTCATCACCTCCTCAGGGTTAGACGACCTGCCTCCTTTTCCCTCACAGGTCTGCTACTCAGACAAGGACCCGCCAACCCTAATTGTCTTCATTACCCCTTTGTGATTTGAGACGGAGCTGTCTAGTTCTTTGTGTTCTATTTGTCTCAGTCCTCTAAGGGTTCAGGTTTAAATTTTTGATGAGATAAGTTAGGGCCAAAATTGCATGAGGTTGTAGAAAGTTCCATCCTAAGCATGATTTTTGATGGAAAGTCTGTGAGAGCAGCAGATCATTCTGTTATCTATAGCCCAGGGATGATGTTGAAGATGATGTTGAAGGTGTGCCTGCCGACCTTAATTTGTGAATGGACCCCTAAAATTTTGTGTGGAGTTTTGAGTTCATGCAGGCATCTGGGCCTTATTTGGGTTGAGGATCCATGGTTGAAGTAAAAGATCAACGGCCCCAAACTGTCACTGAGTTAGCGAAACACACTTTATCCATAGTTAGTAATTCATACTTAACGTATTCTATGCTTTTATTTTTTTCTGGGGACAAAAATTGTTTTTAGCACTTCGGGACTTCTTTTTTATGTTTTTGCCCTTTCTTTTCATTTACCATACACATACGTAGCTTCTGTTAAGGTTCAGGTACTGTTACAGGCGCTTTACAGTAACTACTTAACTAATTACCCCCCCCCCCCCACAGCCTTCTGCCACCTGTGGTATTGTAGTGAGGAAGCTGATGCACAAAGAGGTTAAGTAACTTGCTTAAGGTCACACAGCTAACAAGTGGTAGACTGGATTGCAAACTCAGATGGTCTGGCTTCAAAGATCAAACCTCCGACAATTTATAATTTGCCGCCTTTCCTCTATGAGGATCCTATGTATTTCTTAAGCCCTAGTGGAATCATTGGTTCTTCAAAGAATTCTCTGTGGCTTCTTGTTGCATTAGTTACCTTCTCATTGGACCTCACTGTTGATATACTCATTACCGCTCTCAAGGTGTAACAGGCTGGTATTAATTATGTTGGCTCTATATGTGTGTGCATATGTCGCACACTAGGCTTAGGCTACTTGAGATCATTGACCACATCCTTTTTGAATTTTCGTGTCCCCAGCCCTGATCACAGATCTTAACACAAAGTATTCTGAAACCAAACAGAGTTGTCAGTTGGCAGAATGAATGAAAGAATTTATGTCTACGTTGAACTGTACAATATCTAACGTCTAGGGATATGCCAAAGTGATTCCTAAAGTCCAATCATGTAATTTTACCTTCAGTCCTAATCTTATAGATACACATTTATTTATTCACTTATTACAATACATTTTTTTCAAAAGCATTACTTTATACTTGCTCTCTGTCCACTGTTTTGTGCTTGGAATCTAATGGTGGGCACAGTAGAACATTGCCTTCATGGAAGATAAAATTGAGTGGTCAGAGAAAGAGGAAAATAACTTCTAATTTTCAATTTGGAGCTTATTCTGGGGTATAGCCTACATTCTACAAAAGGCTTCTTCAGTAAATTGGAGTCTAAGGAATGGGGTTCAGTGGTTATTTTCAGTGACTCTGTTGATAGTGTTCAAAGAATCAAGAATGTCGACAATAGAGGTGCGTGTAGAATTAGTCACATTTCTATTACAGTTTAAGTTTGGGTCGTGTTTTAAGTTTTAGTTATATAATTTAAATGGGGTCTTTTTTTCTTATTGTACGTGCATACACTACTACAGTAAGGTAAACTGTCCTGTTTTGATTGGGTGTATCAGGCAGAGTGCCTATGTGTGGCCACTTTAAAACTTGAACATGGCTCTAAAATATTTTATATCTATATATGATATATCAAATATTATGTATTATAGATGTTAGATTTATGTGTCTCTGAAATATTTCTGTAATAAAAATTTATTAAAATAGAACATTTTAAAGGACATGTAAAAAAACACTGTCAAGGAGCTTGGGAGAAAAAACCGAGAACAACAAGTATTGTGCCTTTATATATTATGGCAGTGGTTAACAGTTTTGACCCATTCTTATGTATTTTCAGCAGTGTTTAATAATCACATTAATGTTGCTTTGGTCCTCATGAAAGTCAGGATCCCAGTATCTTGGACTCTTAGCTTGTCTTTTTTTTTTTTTTTTTTTTTTTGACTCTTGGTCAGCCATTTATTGCAGAGAAAAACTCTTCTGTAGATGATCCCTTCTGGGGAGAAGCCTCTCTTTCTACTGTTCCTGTAGGAAATGTTGGTTTCCTAAAGCAACTTGCATGATCTTTCTTTCTCTCTAGCTTTCTAATAACTTTGTTTTTCTTTTTCTTTTTCTTTTCTTTTCTTTTCTTTTCTTTTCTTTTCTTTTCTTTTCTTTTCTTTTTTCTCTTCTCTTCTCTTCTCTTCTCTTCTCTTCTCTTCTCTTTTCTTCTCTTCTCTTTGGTTGGAATAAAGTCATGGTGGTGACAGTGTAATGCATGGATTATTAAGAATTAAGACATACTGGGGCACCTGGGTGACTCAGTTAGTTGGGCATCCGACTTCGGCTCAGGTCATGATCTCATGGTCTATGGGTTCGGGCCCATGTTGGGCTCTATACTGACAGCTCTGAGCCTGGAGCCTGCTTCCAATTCTGTGTCTCCCTCTCTCTCTGCCCCTTCCCTGCTTGTGCTCTATCTCTCTCTTTCAAAAACAAACATTAAAAATTTTTTAAAAACCAAAGCAAATAGAATACTTCACTGCACATATTGTGCATGTAGCTTAATGAATTATTAGGGCAATACCTCAATTGAAAAAATTCTTTGTAATTGACTTCATAGTAAAGTCCTCACTGAAGGGCACATATGCACACTGAAATCATGAATATTCATGCTAAATGTTCCAACTACTAGCTTCTGTTCAGTTAATGCCAAAAATAACACAAAGGTGTGTAATTGTAAAATGTCTTTCTAAAGCTTTAATCCTTTAGTGACTTCTTATTAAATTCCATTTTATACTTGTTCTTCTCCACCGAAATGAAATAATGTAAACCATTTATGCCTGATTTAGTCAACTTTTCATCTTTCAAAAAATATTGAGTGCTTTCTTTCAATACCAGGAGTTCTCTTTATACTGGAGATACAGAGATTATAAAGCTAGGGTTTCTGTCCTAGAGAAATGGACATGCCAGGGATAGACCTAGTTTGTTGCTTACAGTACAATTACAATGCCACGTGACAAGTATTCAAGTACAGATTCTGGTTGTATTTCCATGTGAATACCTGAGTATTGATTACATTTGTTTTTATTTTTTAGTGTTTAAAATCAATGTACACTGAAATAGACTTTTTTGGTATACAGTTGGGAGTTTTAAGACAGATATAGATTCATATAGCCAACACCCTAATCAGGATACAGAACCATTCCACCACCCAAGAAATCTGTCTAATCCTCGCATCTCCCATCTCAACCTCTGGCAACCACTAATCACTATAGTTTTGTATTTTTGAGGTTACCACATAAGTGGGATCATACAGTATGTAACCGTTTGCAATTGGCTTATTTCGACATGACATCTTTGAGATTTATCAACATTTTTGCATATATTAATCGTATGTTCCTTTTTATTGCTGAGCAGTATTCTGTTGTATGGATGTTTCCATTTATTTACCCATCTACTTGTTGAAGGACATCTGAGTCATTTTCAGTTTTAGGCAATTGTGAATAAAGCTGCTCTAATCATTGACGAACAAGTTTCGTGTAAACATAAATTTTCATTTCTCTAGGTTAAACACCTAGGAAGGGAATTCCTGGGTCATATGGTAAGTGTATGTTTAACTTCATAAGAAACTGGCAAATTATTTTCTAGAGTACAGATCTTGCATTTCTACCAGCAGTGTATGAGAGAGAGAGTTCCAGTTTGTCTCCATCCCTGCCAGCATTTGGTATGGCCAGCACTTTAAAATTTTAATCATTTAGTCACGAGTGTCTTTTCATTATTTGCCATCTATCTTATACTCTTTGATGACACATCTGCTCAAGTCCTTTGCCTGTTTTTAAATTGGGCCCAGTTGTTTTTTTCCTTTGACTTTTGAGATTTTGCCACATATTCTGGATCCAAGTCCTTTGTTACAGATGTACTTTGCAAATGTTTTCTCTTGGCACATGTCTTGTCTTTTCATTCTCTTTACAGAGTCCAAATTCTCAAGGTTTTCTTCATATGTCTGTATTTGTGGTATTATGTTCAAGAACTCTTGGCTCAATCCTAGGTCATAAACATTTTCTCCTTTGCTTTCTTCTAGAAGTTTTGTAATTTTATGTTTTGCATTCAGTTCTATGGTTTGAGTTCATTTTTGTATAAGATGTGAGGTTTAGGTTAGTGTTTTATTTTGTTTTTACATATAAACATTCAGTGGGTCCAGCATCATCTGTTGAAAAGACTATTTTTTTTCATTGAATTTCCTTTACATCTGTATCAAAAATCAATTGGATGTATATATGGGGGGTATGGATATATATGGATGGATAGATATCGATTTCTGTACTCTGTTCTGTTCCATTGATTTATACATTTGTGCCTTTGTCAATGCCATGTTCTTTTGATTATTGTATCTTTATGTTAAATCTTAAAATCAAGTTGTGCTATTTTTTCACTTTATTTTTTATTTTAAAAGTTGTCTTGGCTATTCAAGTTTCTTTACCTTTCCGTATAAATTTTAGAATAAACTTACCTATTGTGTTGAATCTACACATGAATTTGGGGATATAGACATCTTTACCAGGATGAGACTTCCAATCCATGAATACTGTATGTCTCTCCATTTATTTATTTTGTGCATCATTGTTTTATAGTTTTCAACCTACAGATCTTGTATATATTTTGTTGCATATGTGCCTGTGTTAGATATGTGTTAGTTTTCAGTGACGATTGCTAGTATGTGAAACTACATTGGATTTTCATGTATTGTCCTTGTATCCTGTGGCCTTACTAAAATCACTTTTTATTACAAGGAATTA